TTTAAAAAAAAGTATCTTAACCTCAAAATTTCTGTAGTCATAATCAAGCAACTAGCTTCAGGCTTTATTTGTAAGTCACCCGTAATAAGTCCAACATCCTTAAATGTTTCTCGAAAGTCACGGAACTTTTGGTTAGACAAAGCCTTGATAGGAGATGTGTACACTGTCCTAAAAAACAAAAAAGGATTATTAAACTTATAATTACAGGCTTAAGTACTTAAAAACTAACTTATGACTTTTATAGAAAAATATATAAAAATTCCTTACAATATTCAGCACATTTGCAAATACAATGGTTCCTATGTGAATATACTTACAATCTGAAACTACAAAGTTATTTAACAGACTTATTTGAACTTCAGCTTTTCTGTAACCTCCTTAAAATATATTTGCATTGTTAATCCAATTGTTCATTGTGCGTTTGTGTTGGAATTTTTGTTTCTCTATAACATACACAAGAAAGTCAGTGACCATGATTTCAGGAAATACACAGAAGAAATATTATAAATTAAACAAATGTTCATAGGTCTAACAGAAAAACAACTAAGAAACTAATATTTAAACAATATTAAAGATCAATCTTTAGTTAAGATAAATATGTTTTTATTAAAGTTCCTTTAAAATTTGTAAAACTTGTATCTAATTTTCAGTAACTAAAACATAGAAAAAGTTCTTGCTTCGTCATGTGTTTTTCTGAAAGCGCAATAGCATATTCAGCTACGACAGTTTTCCCTGCAGAGGTGTGAGCAGCCACAAAGACACTCTCATGGTTTTCTAAGTGAAGAATGGCTTGTTTTTGGAAATTATCAAGATCAAATTCCCACTAAAAAAGAAAAGAAATATTGAATAACTGTACAACGAGTGTTTTGTACAATAAAACCTATCTACAAATCCTTATTAAAGTTTCATCATTTTCTGTTTAAATAAAATCCCTATAAAAACTAGTCTTTCCACAAATATGATTATTCAAGTGAAGAAAAAGTTGATAACAGTTTTAAGGAGTATTTACAGTCCTTTAACTGAAATGGATCAAACATTATTCAAAAGTATGCAGCAGCAATTTTGAATTATTAGATATCAACTGATTTGCTTATTCCTTAATAAAATATCTAATAACTTGACCATAGAATCCATGTACCCACACTGTAAAAAAAATTAAATTATAAAAATATTGAGACTTGAATTTAATCTGACCAATGGAACAGTGAATTTGCAAATAAAATTGTTTCAAGAAAGTGGTTAAATATGCTCTTTTGTTACCAAAAAACATATTCTTGAGTAAATGTTACAACAAATGTGTTATATAATTTACAAGATCGATTTTTTTAAACTCTGAAAAAAACACACCAAAAGTTATAGATATATCAATATAAAATTCACAACTCTTCTCTATAACATACATGAGAAATTCAGTGACCATGATCTCAGGAAATACACAGAGGAAATATTATAAATTAAACAAATGTTCATAGGTCACCAAAAGTTATAGATATATCAATATAAAATTCTCAACTCCTCTTTCTTATTTTATGATTATAATGAACTGACAGTTTTTTTTTAAAGAGGACCAGTTATTAGTTTTTAAAATGATTGTATCAAAAGATTTACCATATCTGAAAAAATGTATCAAAACAGTAAGGTGAAAATGATACAAATAATAATTGTACACAGCTATTAAGTTAAGAGCATAAATTACATATATTTTCTGATATTCACAGACCAATGGTTTCCAAACTGTGTATTGTGAATTTCAACAAATGGAGAATAATTAAGAACATAAAAAATATTTAAAAAAAATATTGCACAGTCCTTCGTATTTGAAAATAGTATTGTGAGTAATTTTCACTCGCCTAAAAATTGTATGGTGAGTGATTTTTACTACTCATCTGAACAGTAGTATAGTGAGTGATTTTTACCACTCACCTGAAAAATAGTATAGTGAGTGCTTTTAATCATTCAATGAAAAATATTTTTTTTCAGGTCCATGTATCATAATGTAGTGAATAAAACAAATAGTAAATTCAAAAAAATATTTATATGTTGAAATTTTTTTTCAAAAATCTGTGTATACATGTGTTATCTTTATTAAAGTTATGCAGTATTTAGTAATTTCTCAAACACCCTTGATTATCAACATTTGACAAAAACGGGACTAACTGAGTATATTTATCTTTTGTAAGAGAATAAAATAAAATATTGGCAGATAATCAATGATGTTTGATGAAGATGCACAGGATAGGTTACTCCACCACCAGCACATTCATGAAATTTAGGGAGAGGCTGAACACTTACCCAATTTAATACAAGCTAATAAATTATCATGCATCTTTTTTAGTACAGCACCTGAAACTGAAAAATTGTCTTATAAAACACTGTTTGACATGAAATTAACCAGAGTTTATCCACCGTCATTTTGGGCACTGGAAAAAGTAGCCAAAATTTGGTGAGAAATTAAAGTTATTAATGACAAAAACTTTGTCATGGAAGACCTTGGACTAAATAATTAAACAATGAGTAAAACCAATGCATGATTTAAATCCAGTCAATTCAGCCACTATTTATATTCATTCACAAATATTGATCCAATTTCAATGAGGTTTTAGACGGCCTAAATCTTACTTTGAACATGTGCATAATTTATGATAATTCATCATCTGCTAGTATAATATCAATATATCAGTGATATGGTATTGATTCGTAAAAATATTTACCTTTACAACTAACTCGGTTCCAAATTCTTTTTTGTCTCATAGCCAATGGTATACGGCAATTACCACTTTAAAAACATGGACAAACGTATGCTCTTACTGGTCACTGCCATTGTTTTACAGGAATGGCAATTCACAAAAGTAGACTGTAGTCCACAATTTGGATTAATGTATACTCAACAACAACGCCCACATTGTGGATCATCAGTGCTGCAGCAGTAAATAGGTGTACTAGTTGTGATATGAAAATACCACTCATCATGTGCACTAAATAGGTAAAGTTGCACATGTGATTTTAAAAAGTTTATTTTATGTCAGCAATAATGACAAATTTATGAGCAATTAACAACACACCTAAAGCAAAATTTATGTGCTTTATCATGTGTAAGCACAATCATTCACCTGAAATCTGAACAACTGTTGCATGTGGCAGCAGGGGTGTTATTCAAATCAAGGTAAGTGGGTTAGGGTGTCATCAGTGAAAAAAGTTCATATAACAGCATTACAAGACATGTTCCTGGTATTAAAGCATAGAAATATGTTATAAGAACAATACCAGGGAAACTAATGTCACAATCAATTCATCTGTTCTGAAAAAGTCATTTTCTGTTATCATGAGACTAAAAATATGTAGTATAGTATTCAACATATTAAGAACTACATAGAAACTCATTCTTTTTACTTAACTTACTTCATAATAGAAAATTTAACAGGAACATTAACTATAAGAAACTAACTGTTCGGGCCATGTTGGGAATTTTCTTGTCAAAATCTGTTACAGCATCAGATATGTTCACCATGGTAGCCCACTCTGATGAGCTTGAATGAAGCGTTTCTTTGACCGAAGGTACATCTTCGATTTTCAGTGTAACTGACAAAGGTTTCTGATAATAAGACAAGAGTTTGTAGTATGATAAAAATGCACTTTTAGACATATTGTAACATCTGTGCAAATGACTAGCAAGAAATTGGTAACAGAAAAAACATGCTTTATGAAAAAAAGATTAACATTTTAAGATTAAATGTCAAACTATCATTGCATCTCAACTTTAATTTAGTCTTTGATATTTCAAGTAACCTTAACTTCTATTTCATTGCAAGTGAAAACCATGTAAACATTTTTGTAAGCCTAAGTTAGTGGTGAAAACAAAGTTTAATAAACCATTACTGTTTTATATTTTTGATAAGTTACACTGATGCTTAAATTACATTTTATGGTTGAAATGGTTACAATCTATTTTGTGGTTTTATTTTTAAATTTGTAAAATTTAAACAAATAAATACGATTGATAGTCACTCATTGTGAATGACAAGTACTTTTTTGAACCAATACACAAAATGTTCAGTTCTAAGACAGGTTATATATTTTTTAATTTAAAAAAAGCATGACACCAAAGTCTCTTAACTCTTTAAACCCATAATATTTTGCACGTTCTGCTGGAATTATTTTCATGATATTATCACCATACCTTATAAAACTTAAATTATCTTAATTTTGTGGATAACAACATGGTTTGGATTAGTTATCAGCCAAAGAGTCATAAATGTTATCAGATGGTGTCACCATCTACTTGGGTCTAAGGAGTGAATAAACACAAAAAATGTCAACAAGTTTAATATTCTACCTTTTCTATAATTTCTTCCCAGACTTCTTCTTCTTTTACTGAAACAGCTTCTATTGTAACCTGAAAAAAATTTTTTTAAAGTGTATATATTTTTCAACTCAAGTAAATATCGCTTTCATTCTGCATTTTTAATTTTATAGTTATGAACCAGTATTTTTTTTATATGTAATAGTTTTAGGAAAAAGAATCTGCTTTCTGTAACATAATTCAAACTTTAAATATGCAAAGTTTTTTATTCTAATCTTTTTTTTTTTTTACAATACAATGACATTCCACAGTTTGTAACTAATATAAGTATTTATCATGACATCTCTATCCAATTTAGCTTAAGAAATATTGGAAAGATTTCAATCAAATTTGTATAAAACCAATACCTCAATAAGATTTAATTTTTGGGTCAGATTTTTCATGTTTATGACCCTATTTAAATTTTGAATCTTTTAAATCCTCTAAAATTGTTTTCTTGAAAGAAAATGCTGGTAGATAAAAGAAGCTTTTCTTTTAAAGGCTGAGAAAGGCAACATTCATTTCAAACATTATGGGATATATTTTGAAATTACCCCTGTTAGTTTTAAGCATTTTGGGAGGTTAGTGTCTGTTACATAGGAAAGCAGCAAATATTGAAAAATGGTGGTCATTAAATAATTTCTTTATTGTTCAATAATTTTAGTAGGCTTGCATCTTAGTTTTAAGAGCTTACAAGTGACCATTTGCATAAAGAATAAACTACAACATGCTGATCTGAATTCAATATTTTTACAAATTAATTACTACATTAAAATTAATATGGCACTTGGAACATTAAATCTCTCCTTCTTTTAATTAAACTGGTAAGAAAACTGCTCTATCAAAGATAAAGTACTGATCAAAATTTGAAAGAAATGGAATATGCTTAAAAAATATGAATAAAGTGCTGAACTTGAAAATTTATAATTAAAAGTATTAAAAATTTGTGCATTAAGATAAAAACAGATCATTAAGAAACTTCTTTTCATTAAAACATATTTATTCTGTAAGCAACTTCCTTTATGAAATTTATGAAAACTATCTCCCTAGAGTTCTAATAGGAACAGATTTTATGAAACTTGACAGTAAATAAGGCACAAAGGAGGAAAATGTACTTTCTTTTGTAATACAGATGCTTAACAGATAACAAGCCTAACAGTACATAACACTTTAGCTGTTGGATCATGATATTTACCAGTAATATGCAGGTGTCAGATTACATCATGATAACACAAAATAATTTAAATCATGTCATTATTCCTAAATGGTTCAACATAAGTTTCCAGGAAGAAAAATGTATACAGTAGTATATAATCCACACTTTTTTGTTTCAACTACTGCTGCCAAGGCCTCATCAGTAGCATCATATAACAAATAAAGTATAACTGAAATTCTACATACACTCTTCTTACTGAACACCTATATTGGGCCAGTAAAGAATAATGTGGTTTAAAACTATTATTCTTATACAATATCACATATATATTACTACTCAATATTTTACAAGTGTTCATGTCAGCATCTTCTCATGGTAAAACATGAGGCTTTAAACATTAATACAAAATACTTCCTCCTATTTGTAGACCTTTCTTCCCAATGAACATGTTCTATCAGAGAGATATTTGGTTAAGTAAACAGTTCTTACTTTCAGTAAATTTAAAATTAAACCTATCAATCAAGTTATTGTCAAATAACAGTGAAACCTTCACACTTGAGGGTACAAAAGAAATTATCACAACGAATTCCAGGAATAAACAAAGTCATTAGAAGAAATAATATTTATAATTTACTAGAAGGTTTGAATGGTATATTTTTAACCTGAGCAAAATACCTGAAAATACATTACAATGAATAAAAACAACAACACAATTTAGTAATACGCACACAAAACGTTTTGGGAGGAATACATAGTAAAAAAATCAAACAAAAATTAAAAATTGTACAACTATTACTTTTTTTGGTTCTTGAATCTCTTCTTCTCGAGTTTTTTTGAAGGTATCAGTAACACAAGCTTGCAGGTCCCAATCATCGTCTATGGACATGATATCCATTAGTTTCAAAATTTGTACTTCTTTTGTACTTGTGTCTGTTTCTGACTCTGGTAGTTCAGGTTTTTCAAAAGTCATTCCATCCTTGAAACCAGGTGGCACTGACAGTAATCCTGAGGAGGAATAATATCTCAAAAAATATTAAATTGATACTGAAGATTAATTCAGGAATATTCAATAAAATGGTTAGATACAGTGTTCAACTAATAATATAAACATTGTAAACAGCAGCTTGAGAGCTTGATCTGAAGAGAGGCTCATTTCATTTGAGCCTTT